TCCTCCCCCTCCTTGTAAATTATGCCAGCACCTACCAGTTGCCTAAACCAGAAACCCCATCTCTTCATTCAAGGAATATTTGTTCAGTTCCTCTCTTTGTTTTTTGTTGGGAATACAGTGAATCATAAGACAGGCTCAGCCTCTATGGCACAGAACTTAAAGGCTGGTTGACGTCACCTACCTCTTTCTCTTTCTCCCTCTCCCTCTCCCTCTCCCTCTCCCTCTCCCTCTTCCTCTCTCTCGTTTATTTAAATATGTTTTTATTGATTTGAGAAAGAGAAACATCCGCGGCCTCCTCCACACCCCCTACTTGGGATCGAGCCCGCAACCCAGGCATGTACCCTGACTGGGAACTGAACCAGTGACCTTTTGGTGCCTGGGATGATGCTCAACCACTGAGCCACACCAGCCAGGGCAACACCTACCTCTTTCTTACACTAGATATCCCAATAACTGTTATTGGTTGGACTGATTACACCTTCTAAATCACTCTCCCATCTGTCCTTTCCTGGAAACATGATCTCCTGAATAAGCTGCGCCTCCACTACCACTGCCCTAGTTTCAGCTTTTGTCATTTCCTGCCTGGATTGTGACAAGATCTTCCTAATCAGGGTCTCTGCCTCCAGCCTTGCTCTTATGTCCCACCCAGCGACACTGCTCCCCTGCATAGAGCCCTTCAATGGCTCCTCACATGCTTTAAAATAAAATCTAAACTCCCTAGGAAGGTTTGTCTCATGCTCTAGTCTAGCCCCTTGCCTTCCTTTGTTCCCTCACATCCCGCAGTCCCACACCCCCCCACACACCCCATACTTTTTCTCACCTTTGTGCCATTACATTGCCTTTCCCTGTATTTAGAATGCCCTTGCCCCCCTTTTTATTTTATCTTTCTTGTTGAAAGTATTACAGATGTCCCTTTCCCCTCCCATTGATCCCCTCCACCCCTCATCCACACACACACACATACCCCGCCCCTTCTCCATTCAACAGATATTTATTGTGTACCTAGCAGACAACAGGCAGTGTTCTAGGGGCTGGAGATTCAGCAGTGAGCAAAACAAAGTCTCTACTCTCATGATGTTTACATTTAAGAAGGAAAGATAGACAATAAACATGTAAATAATAATGTCAGGTGGTGATAAGTACTATTTAAAAAAAACAGAAGGGCCCGGCCGGGCGTGGCTCAGCGGTTGAGTATCGACCTAGGATCCAGGCGATCGGGGTTCGATTCTGGGTCAGGGCACATGCCCGGGTTGCGGGCTCGATCAATGACTCTCTCCTCATTGATGTTTCTGTCTCTCTCTCTCCCTCTCCTTTCCTCTCTAAAATCAATAAAGATATATTTAAAACAAAAACAAAAACAAAAACAGGAGGGAGGGCCCTGGCCTGTTAGCTCAGTTGGTTAGAGTGTTGTCCCGCTATACCAAAGTTGTGGGCTCAGTCCTCAGTCAGGGCACATATAAGAATCAACCAAAGAATGCATAAATAAGTGGAACAACAAATTGATGTTTCTCTCTCTCTCTCTAAAAAAAATCAATAAAAATCTTTTAAATACAAAACAGGAGGGAGACTGAGAGCCACCACTTTAAACAAGACAGGTCTCTGGTTAGGTAATAGTTGTACAAAGATATGAATAAAGTGAGGTAATAAGCTCTGAGGTCATCTAGGGAAAGAGCCTTCCCAGTAGAAGAAACAATAATCATTGCCCAATTACAAAACCCCTAAAGCAGGAACAAGCCAAGTAAATTGAAAGAAAAGCAAGACAAACAGCACTGCTGGAACAGAGAGGGTGAGGGCAAGAGGTCTGGGATGAGCCAAAGAAGTCAGATGCAGTGGGCCTTGAAGGTCATGCTGAGTGGGTGCTTCACCCACCCCTGACTGCTTTTCATCCTTCAGTGTCAAGTGTAGAAATCATCTCCTGAATAAGCTACACACCACCCCACTCCCAGCACTTACCATATACAATATGTTTAATTGACTATTTTTGCCCATCTCCACCACATTATGAGTTCCCTACAGCAGGGTCTCTACCTTTCTTTCCCACTCCATGTTTTATAAACCCGACCACAATCAGTAAATTGTTTTTGAATAGTCAAAACATTCTTCCTTCACTCTCGTTCCATGCCCTGCAAGCAATTCCCTGATTTCCAGATTGATTTCCCAGTGGCTCTGGTACTAGAAAGGGGGTGCCCTGATAGTGAACACACGCCCTTTGGTATTTAGGAATTACACACGTATGCTCACTGTTGTACCTTAACAAATATTATCATTTATACACATCAGCCTCTTTTTTGGGTGAGACTCAGTTGGTGAGAAAATGATCATCTCTGGGTCATGGTGGCCCAAGGAAGGCACTGCTCATGGAAGGACCTCACGAGCAGCCCCGTAGAGGCCCGATGCCCCCTCTACCTCATCACCACCTTCCTTATTTCAGATGGTGGCTCATCACTTCCCATCTGTTCACCTCAGAGAGCTCCTCCACACCCCCACATCCAGAAGTCCTAGAAATTCCACCTTAAAATTATTTCTGTATCTACCCCCTCGTCTCAGTTTCAAAGGCCCTGCCCAGAGGGCAGGCCTCCACCACACTTCATATGGACTCAGGTTTCAGGTCCCTCAACCGGTCTCCCTACCTCCTGTCTCTTTCCAAAAACACTTGCCACATGCCCAGCAGAGTTCTAAGCAAATCTGATTGTACCTCCCCACTTAAAATTGATAGCTCCCCCCTATTTTCAAAATAAAGTCTAACCTGTTGAGGCACTATATAAAACCCCCTTGAGCTGACCCTGGGCTGTATTTCTCGTCTCTACCTCCTCCCCTGCCTCTCACTCCACATTCTAGCTCTACCAACTACCTGCAATTCTCTGAACAGTCTGTATCTTTTGGCATCTCCACACCTATTTGCGTACAGTTATCCCTACGAGAAATGTCCTAGAAGACAGCCATGTATCTTTTCCAAATTCAGTTCAGACATTATGTTCTCTATGACATCTTCCTGAGCTCTCCTTCTCACAAGAAGAAAGTTATCCCAGCCCCACCGGCATGGCTCAGCAGTTGAGCATCGACCTATGATCCAGGAGATCGCCGTTCGATTCCGGGGCCGGACACATGCCCGGGTTGCGGGCTCAGTCCCCGGTAAGGGGCGTGCAGGAGGCAGACAATCAATGACTCTTTCATCACTGATGTTTCTATCTCTCTCTCCCTCTCCTTTCCTCTCTCTGAAATCAATAAAGACATATTTTAAAGAAAAAAAGAAGGAAAGAAAGTTATCCCAGTTGTTTCTATGGTGCCTTTATCACTACACCTATTATCTTGCATGACAATTATTTGTTGACCATGTCTGTCTCCCTCCTGGACTACTTCTTGGTTTTTTTCCTGAGTGGTTATGGTTAAATAGAGATATTACTGTATCTGGACAGAATGTCTTTAGAGGTCTCAGCATCTGATTTGTCCTGGGTGCTCATTAAACATTAGCTGAAGGAAGGAACTCAGAATCACATGTCCCCTAAATTCTTACAATCTTCGTTGTCCTTCTGAACCTTCTCCCAGATCACTATGTGCCTCTGAAGTTATTAGAGATAGGACGAAGTTCTATTAGAAGCTAAGAGGCATAGTAACTTTAAATATAATAATGTATATTACATTTGAGTCACGATCTATGGTTTTCAATGGATCTGACTTCATTCTTGCAGTAGGCTGGAAGTAAACACTCACTGTACCTTGCCTAAGGTCACGCAGTTGTTGAGCTCAGCCTCAAACAAAAATCTGGTGCCCTTTTTACTCTACCAGAGTTGTCTCAAATATACGTGATAAATCCATGCACGGACCTCTGTGTTCTCTCCACTGGGGAGCTCTGCAAACTAATCATAACTGTGGCTGCTTTGCGTGTATCTGTACAAGGGTGTACATGTGCATGTATGTGTCCGTGGGTGTACAAGAGTTTGAATGCAGCTCTATTCCCAAAATAGAAGCAGCAAATTAAAAAAGGGTGACTGACGGCGGTAGTCACGATGCCAGAATCAAGGGATGACAGCTGTCAGAGATGACACAGATCAAAACCAGGAAAGTATAAAAACCTGAGGAACTGAAGTCAGGTCAGCAGTCTGAGGCCACTGAGGAAACAAAATCAGCCCCACCTCTGCTGGCCTGGAAAGGCTTCATAATCACACAAGAATTGAGATGTGCAATAGTAACCCCAAGTTACCAAAGAAATGTCAAGTGATTAAGGCAAGCAGACATATCATTGGTTTTAAAGAGATTCCAACAAAGATGGTTGAAATAAGAGAATTCTGGTGTTTAAAGGGATGCAGCTATCTTAGAAATTTTACTTAGATGGAATAATTCTTGCTCTACACAAGATATGTGACTATATACTTACATTTGAGGGGACCCCAAGACCAACAGACCCTAAAATTCTTTTCACCAGTAAGTCAGCCTACCATATCATCTGTAATAGTTTCAAGAATCTAGCCAACAGCAAACCTCACATATGTTTGAAAAGATATTCACTGGAGCATTGTCTGTAAGTCTGAAAAAACTGGAACCAACTTAAATGGCTATTAACAGAGGACTGATTAGTTAAATAAGCAATATTCTTAAAATTAACATGGAATAACATGAAGCATTTTTTTAAAAGTAGATCTGTAAATAGAAAAGAATGTCACTGATAAATTCCTGGGAAAAAACACACTGTAGAATTATATGTGGACTATGATCCCATTTTTTGTAAACCACAGAACAAAACTACATCTCTTGAAGGAGCAAGAAAAATATCAGGAAGGGCACACACACTGCTAATGATGCTTACCATGGGAAGTTGGGCAATGGTGGATTTTTTTACACTTTGGTACTTTCGAATTTTCACGCATACATTAATTTTTAAAAAAAATAAAAGCATTTGCAGAGGCATGCATTTCTTTCCATCTCCTTCTTACGGGCTGACTGGACTCACAGCCAGGCCTCTGCCCTGGCGCTCCACCCACACTAGCCCCAGCCCCACTTACAGATGCAGGCAGCAGCCAGCAGGCGGCCAGCAGCGTAGGGTGCGGAGCAGCTCGGGAAGATGGGCTGCACCATGTAGTTGGCAAAGGTGATGGCGATGATGGCCTGGCTGGTAGGCTCGATGATGAGCAGGGAGGTCCAGAGGCGGATGAAGGCAAGGAGTCCCCCGAAAGCCTCGAGGATGTAGGCATAGCTGGCCCCAGACTTCTTAATGGTGGTGCCCAGTTCCGCGTAACAAAGGGCCCCAAAGACGGAGAATATGCCCCCAACAGCCCAGATGACCAGGGAGAGGCCAAAGGAGGCACTGTACATAAGCACGCCCTTGGGGGACACAAAGATGCCCGAGCCAATCATGTTCCCCACAATCAGGCACACGCCGTTCAGCAGCGAGATCTCCTTCTTCAGCTTCACCTGCTCCGGCCCTGCCTGGGCCTCTTCCTCCAAAGGGGAGGCGTCCCCCAAGTGCTGGGAGGCCACTTCATACTTTACACCGTCAACCATGGCGGAGGCGGAGAAGAAAGACTTCACCAGCTTCTTGGCATCGCCCTCTAAGGGAGAGCGAGGACCATATACATCAGGTGGTTGGCAAGTCCCCAGAACACTCCCCGCTAGGGGCCGGTAGGGGCGACCGCCCCACCCACATGGCACAGCCCTCTCTCTTGCTTCCCGCCTCCCATTCACTTCTTCTCATGCTGGCTCCGGCTCATCAAAACCACCCCAACTTGAATTTTTAAGAAAAGGCACTCACTCCCCAGAGAGAAAGCATCTGTCTCTCATCGTGAGGCTGGTGCTGCCTACCTGATTTACAAAATAGAAAACTAAATCCTGGTTCTATCTGAGTCTGCTGTGATAAGAGACAGGAATTAGGGCAATTGTCTGGCAGTTACCAGGTGTAACCACAGTGATTTGTGCCGGCGTTTTTCAGTCAGACCTCAAAAAAGTCTGTCTTGCCTCCAATTTCAGACTCACCTGTCACCTGTGCTGAGATGCAACATGAAAAACCAACCTTTCAAACAAATAATCTGTAGGTTCTCCTGACAACAGTGCTCTTTTCCCTCAAGGACTCTGGCAAACGTAAAGGCTTCAGAGATTTCTTGCTGGAAACCCACAACCATCCCCCTGCTTAGGTGAAGTCTTCAGCACTAGCAAAGCCCCAGCAGCCTCACCCCACCCTGAAAGAAGACAGGCTATTCTCTTCTTTTCCTTGCTTTTCCTTTCCCAGATACCCTTCCCGACCCTTAGTATTCCAGGTCCCCTGCCGTCAAAACATCAGAATAATTGCAACACCCAAATAGTGTGAATGAGAGAAGGGTGACCCAAATGTACAGCCCAACTTAGAAATGACTGGAGTCAACTGATGACCACTCCTCACTGAGGAGCGGTTGCTGGAGATACAGCACCGACCCTGGGCACAGCAGAGCGGAAGACAGCTGAGAGAAAGACAGGCGAGGCTGGCCAAGCAAGTGGAGAGACACTGGGGCTAGAGGCACTGGGGAGAGGAAGTGATTGGACACTGCACAGCAGCAAAGAGGGGTGGGGGCAAGTGAGTGGGGCTGAAGGAGAAAGTGGGAAGCACTCACTACCTGGCCAGAGGTGTAAGCAGGTTCCTGTGGAGACAGCAGCCAGTGGAGGTCAGGAGCTGCGCTCTGACCACTCCTCCTTTCTCAGCCAGCAGTGAAAGGAATGGCCAGTCAAGGGCTTATGGATTTAAGTTGAATCAAGAAGTCAAGAAGGGCGGAGGGGGTGAGGGCGGGGAGAGGAGTATTAAGCAACTCTCTGCGTCCAAGGTCCACTGGCCCCTCAGCCCTGCAAAAAGGGCAGCTAGGAAGAGCTCTGGGCTCAGCACTTTTCTGAGATAAGAAGGCGCTCCCTCAGGAATCTCCTTTGACAAGGGACAGAACAAAGGACTGCCAGCTGGGCATGGCTCTGGAGGCCTGAGGAAATTGTCCCCTAGCAAATAAGCCCTGATGAGGACTGGGCAGTGGTTGAGAAAGAATGCACAGCCCTTTCTCCTAGTTGTCCAGGCCTCACCCTAGCCCACTTCTCTCTCATCCCAAACCGGAAAGGCAGGAGGATTGCACAATGTGACAATCCTTGTCAGCTTGTTCACAGGCTGATATTAGAGGAAGTGTGAATACAATTCCTGCACCTCGTGATTGGCTTGATTGGCTGGCCTAAGAGAACTCGACACACTTCCCCACAGAGAGTGAGAAGTGGCTGCCCCTAAACTTGGGCCATTACCCTAAGGCTGAGCCTTAAGCTACTTCCAAGGAAACAAGGTCAAGAAATTATACTCAAACCTCTAGTTGCATCCCCTTCCCCTTACGTGCCCTTTCCTCCTCAAGAAAACATACCAGGATCTTTGGGTAAACATAAATCCTTCCCCAAATACAACTCCAATTTCGTAAACATATGGGTAAATAAGATTTCACTGAGCTACCCTGAACATCACACCCAGAACAGAAAGAAAAAGCTGAGTATTTTTTGAAAATCATACATTATTCTACTTTATAGTCTACTTAAATCTGGTATTTTGGGGCTCTTTTACCAAAAGAAATACACTCTATCCATTCTGAAATGCAACTATCTGTCCTTTTTCACAACTTTTCTAAACAGCCCTCTTTGGTTATTCTACAACCAGAGAATGAAGATCTAAAAATCCAAGGGGGCCTTATCTTTACCCTACACCCTTCCATCCTAGCCCCTTAAACTTTTTTTTAAACCAAGAGAGGTATCCAGATGTTAGCCTTCCCAGAGATCATGCTTCTCCCAAGCCACACTCACAAATATCTGAAATCTGTGGATGAAAAAAAAATGGATTCTATGCAAAGTAACCTCACTGGATAATCTGATCATAAATTCCCAACTGGGCAGGTCATGATAGGCAGTCACATCCCAGACACATAACTTCTTTACTAAAAAGCTTATCTTTGGCTTAAGCAAGCCCTGTCCATTGTTTCTGTGCATCTAAGTTAACAAACCTTTGAAATGCCCCTCCTTCTAGTATGTGACCTCCCTTTCAGGGCCCTCCTTCTAAGACATGACCACCCTCAAGAGAGCACTTAACCTTAACCTGTAATCTGACCCCACCTTGCTTTTTCCCACCTTCATGTAATCTTCCTTACATTCCCTCCTTAATTTCAAGTGCATAAAAGAAACTATACAACTGTTAGTCTTGGGAGCGTTTGAGAACTTGCTCCCCTGGCATATGTTATCAGTTTGGCTCAAGTAAACTCATAAAAATTCTCTACAGGTTTGGACATTTCTTAAAGTCCACAAATCTGTCCAGAGGAGACTGTCCTTTTCTCCCAGGCGCCCCTTAATTACTCTTATAATAATAGCTGTCATTTATTGAGCACTCACCAGGGCCAAACACACCAAGCACCAGAATGCCTTATCTCGTTTAGTCTTCCCTGCAGCGCCTTAAGGCAGGCACTAAGTCCCATGCCAGGGTGCCAAACTCGTGAGGGTAGGCTACCCAATAGAGCTCAAGCTCTTAATTGGCACTGCAATACCTCCCCAACCTCCCCACCTCCTCCTACCTGGCCAGACTCTAGACCTTCCTCAGACAAGAAAGCCCATCAAATGTCTCCCTAAATGAATTATCTGGGGGAGGTAGTGATTAAATTAAAAAGAAAGCTCTGCCCTTCTTCAGCCCAAGCCCTAGACCTTTCAACAAAGCCCATCCATCTCCTTCCTGGCTGGTCCTCCCCTTTCTCATCTCTTCACAGGCGATTACAAGTCCTCTTGGCAGCACTGCCCTTGCTAGGGTGCCCACTTCTAAAGCAAACAAGGCACATGGAAATACATAATCATGCCTGCCCTTTTAAGACCAAATTCACTGGCACCAGGGGGTGGGCTTGTGTCCTAATGGGATGTTAAAAAAAAAAAAAAGGAATGAAGGAGGGACAAAGGAAGGAGAGAATGTGAGGGAAAGTGGGCAGAGAAGCTTTTCGGGTTTAGTTCCTGGCTAGTGGGATCCGAAAAGTGAAGTCCTCCTCTTAGAAGCCCAGCAAACAGCATACCCTAGTGGCCTGACCTGGAATGCTACCCGTCACTGGCCCACACAGACTGGGTAGGGGTGGCTAGCCTTCACAGAAAATATGCCCCCCCTTTTCTCAACCACTGCCTAGCACCAGAGCAGTGGGTAGAAAGGCACCATCTTTGGCAGCTCATATTCTTCCCTGAGACCCTGGTTCACAGGGTATGGCTTCCACCAGTTAGGCAGCCAGGGACTGGCAGGACCTCTCCTAAAGGGCTCTTCCACACCAGGCTTTACAGAACTTTGCAGATTCTGGAACCCCATGAGATAATGGTGATCCTGATACGCAGCACCCCTTGTCTTCTTCTCCTGTCTGAAGTGCATTTAGGACCAAGTGGAGATTACAGGACAACACACTCATGCTACAAGCCCGTGGGAGAAGTTGCAGATTCAGGGACTCAGGAAACGCAGGCAGCGGGGCCCCCAGCATGCAGTGCCTGGCACAGCAGCCAGTGGAGCCCCTTGCCCTGGCCCAACCCATGAATGGCAACACCAAAACACCCTTCCTCCAGGAACCAGAGCACAGCTCAGGGTCTTGGCTTCTCAGTCAAACTCAGGGAGCTAAATGTGAGCAGAGACTTTCTCCCCCAAAGACCCCATGCCCTGCCTTCCTAGCTCCAACTGGTCTGTGCTGCCTCCTCGAACAAGAGAAACAGAAAATAGATACACTGTGGTACAGCTGGATTGCCCCATCACCCAAGCTGAAAGCTCAGCTCCTCCCTCCCCAGTTTTCCATTTGTTTTTCTATATTCCACTGAGGCTACGACAGTCCCATAAAAAAAAAAAAAAAAAAAAAAAATGAAACAAGA